GATCATTTCCTTGTTGCATTGTTCATTTAGTTTTGCAACATCCAGATGCTTGATTTGAATTCCTAGCTCTTTCTCCAGGGAGGACATGTCCTTTGTATTGCACATTCTGAATTTGTGAAAGGCTTCAATTACATGGCAATTATGAACAATGATTTATTCTAATGTAAATTTCCATTCGCTTGGTTGCATTCTTATGACTTTTCATGTGAAATATGGAAGTTGTTTCCCTCCCCGATGTTGGCTTTTATGTATTTCTCAGAAACTCTCTTGGATAGTTTGGTTCTTTACCTTCTGGAATATATGATATTAAAGGTGAAAAGAACAAGGACAGTCTCTTCCTTTCTCCCTCTCTCTCTTTTTGTTTTCAGGTACTACAATGCAAGTGACCATGGCTGATTTTGTTGCAGTTGTGCCACACCTACTTCCATTTTTGTTCTCTTGCCATGGAGTCAAGATGTTCTATTAACACCTCTATGCAATGCTTTTGTCGCTATTTCCTCCTTCTTTACTTGATGATTTACTCTGTTCCCACTGTCTCAGGAGTTAATTTATATTCATAGTAGTGTGGTTTGCATTGGCTTCCAAATATATACATGTGGTGTTTTAAATAAAACATTAGTTGAGGGAAAGCTGGTATCCTTGTACACATTTCTGTGTAGGTTTTAAAGAAAAATAAACTATAGCTAGCTATGCTCATTGAAAATGTTACTCTATCATGAAGTTCTTTGAGGGTAAAGATCAACTGCCTTTGGCTTTTGTGAGGGTATATGATAAGGACAGTAAAACATAGCATTATTATATCTAAAGAAGAAAGAGGTGTGTACATAGTTGGACCATCAGACTTTTGAATATATGGGCAACATAGAATAAGCAATGAAGATAGTTAGATCCATTCTTCACCAAGATTAAAATGGCACCAGCTGATAATAGTAATTCAGCATTTTCGCACATCTAAATCAGAAACATCTAAGGCGTATTATATATTGTTGAGTTATTTTGGGAATTGCTGTAAAGTATTGCTGAGATGTAATATAAAATATTTTCAGCATAGGTATCATTTATTTACAGCTCCAAAGGCTAAAAGAATTGCTTACTGCCTAATCTGGATATAATAGACCTGAGGTGAAAATGATAAGCAAATGGAGAAGAGGGCAGGAGGTTTTCACAGCAAAAGGGCATCTGCAGGAGGAATATAATGATAAGTGTACAAAAGATATGTCACTGCTGACAGTCTCAACACTGAGATGTAGTCTATATGCCTAGATATGTCCTTTCTTAGATGTGTAGAGCTGTTGTTGTTTTTTTAATCCAGCCACAATCTTTGATTACGTATGTTCAGCTTTGAAATCCTGGTACAGAAAAGAAAATCCCAACACTAGTTTATGTCCTCAAATCTGTTTTCCCTCTGAAACATAGTGAAGGGGGAATTATTTTAAAGGGAGAAGTGGCAGTAATAGGAAAGGGTATCAAGTCCTTCCCCTTCCAACAACTTTTCTCCCATGCCTCCCTGTTCCCTACTGGAACCCCAAACCCATGGTTCTGTCCAGTGTACAGGTAGGGGATTGCAGCTTACAAAACCAGCTTGAGGCAAGCAAGGGCTATTCTGGAAAGAAAACAGTAGGTGGGGAAAGAATATCTCGTCTCCTCTGCTGCCTCTCTCCTGGAAATCACCCCCCCCCCCGGTTTTATTATAGAGAAGAGAAGCAGAACCTGGGGTCTCAAGGCGCAGACTGGTGGCATAGCATGCAATAAGGCATTTTCTGTGGTGGTATCCCATCTACAGAACACCATCCACTCTGAAGCTTTCAGTGAAAACATTGGCATAGCTGTAGTTATTTCCAACTGTCACAGAAGGTTATTGTGAGGATATATGATAAGAACAGTGAAGTATAGTAATATTCTACTTAAAGAAGAAAGGGACGTGTACTGATATGCACAGTCAGGCTTTTAGATACAGTGGTACCTCGGGTTAAGAACTTAATTCGTTCTGGAGGTCTGTTCTTAACCTGAAACTGTTCTTAACCTGAGGTACCACTTTAGCTAATGGGGCCTCCTCCTGCCACTGAGCCGCCACTGCGCAATTTCTGTTCTCATCCTGAAGCATAGTTCTTAACCCGAGATAATATTTCTGGGTTAGCGGAGTCTGTAACCTGAAGCGTCTGTAACCTGAAGCATCTATAACCTGAAGCGTCTGTAACCCGAGGTACCACTGTACATAAGCAACACAGATTCTGCACAGTGGACACATACACTGAAGTTTTTTTGATGCTACTTGCACATAGCTCAGTGGTTGCTCTGAGCTATGTAACCAGACCATCAGACTTTGCAGCATTATGCTGGTATCTTTTGTCTGTTTGGGTGATTTCTCTTAACTGCTTCTAGCAATCACTTTGGGGAGTTACCATCCCTCATCAAGATCTAAAACCTGCTTTAACCTTGTGTTTTATTGGCAGAGGTGAATGTGTGTGCTTGACTTTCCAAGTTTTTTCTCTGCCAAAGGTGGTGGTGTGAACTACAGCTTCCCAAGAGCAATACGATAAGGCATATTTGTGCAGTACATTACAAGCTTCTATAAGTTTGGAAGTCAACGTTTGGCCTGTTCCTTGGCAGTCTCTCCCATCCTTCCTTTATGATCTCTCTCTGTCCAGCCCATCTCCAGCAGAGATTAAATTTTGCTATATTAAAATACAAACAACGAGGCACATTAACTTAACTAGTGAGATGTACTGTGGGAATGAAATCTACTTTAGGTCCCAAATCCAAGCTTGGCAAGGACTTCCTATTCATCAACACTGCCCATCATGGGCATAATGGAAGCAAGGTAATATAGCTTCTTTTTTTATTGATTCTCCCTGTAGTTGAAGAAAGACATAATTGCTACCATCAATTTAATCTTGCAACACTCATCTGTTGCCAACCTTCTGCTCTAGTGCCTTCCTGGAAGCGTTGAATTGAAGTTTCAAACTCAGTTCCAAACTCACCATCTCCCAGTTTTGGACAACCCACGGAAGTGTAATTCTCCTTTGGTAAAAGGTCCTCTCTTCATGTAGCATGGATGGGAGGTCAGTGAGGCTAGAATAACAATTGTATTTCTATGTGCACATCACAGATTTATCTAGAATAACATTCTCTAATATGCTGGTGCCATGAGTTTCTTTGTGTTTCATATTTCCCTCTGCACAATTTTGTAGAGATGACAAGAATTCATGAAAATAGAAGAGAACAAAGAAAGAACTGGGGAGGGGAGGCAAATTGAGGGACAAAAATAATATTTATTCAAAGAAAAGAGTACAATTACATAAAACATTTTAGTCTTTGCAAAAGTAGTACAAAACAAACATTGTTCTCATATTGAAAAGGCAGGTGGCAATATGCAAAGAAATATACTTAACAGCTACAGGAACTGAAACACTTCAAGTAGAAAATAATCTGCATTAATGATTATAAATTTCTTAGCATTAAAAGGACACATTCACATCCATTTTCTGCAAAGATTCTGTATCTTGTGATCCAAAGCACTGTTGGAATGTCCACTCAGCTGGTGTGAAGCAACCCAGCCTATCACAAAAATGCCACAGCATCTTGGCATCAGTTCCATAGATCACTTGTGATTAAACAGCATACTGCTGCATCCATAGAAGCTGCTGTTGTGGGGTTACTCATGAAAAGCATTGTTCACACATTATGGTTCTATTTGTGACTGCCCCAAAACACATTGGCCGGATTCAACTAACGGGTCCCATTAGTGTAAGCCCATGCAAGGACTTCTGCTAGTGCAACTCCCCCCCCCACCTGTGCCTCCCAGAATTGACTCAGGGGGATTAGGAGAGCCCACAGAACAGTGCAGGGAGGAAGAGAGGGGAGATTGCTGCACCAGGCCAGCACTGCGCCCATGCCATGCCAAGCAAGAAAGTCTACAGTCCAAGACAATGTGGGGGTTCTTTTTAGTTTTTAAATAAGACGTTTTTATATTTAAATTGAGTCACGCTGAACTCAGTTTGCCCGTGCTTTCAGTTCCTTCATATTTCTTTTCTCTCTTGGTATTGCTACTGTGCATGTGTGCCATTGATAAAACACAGCAAAAAAAGCAAGGCTGATGTGCTTGTTCTAGTGTGTTAAAGATACACATAAGTCCTGTTTAGATGTTTGCCTGAATTCACATGGGCTTAATCTGTACACACAGGCTCCACTCACTCCAATGTCCCAAGGCATGCAGGTCTCTCTTTAGATCATCATGTATTTGGCATTCAGTGGAATGTGTTTACAAACCTCCTGCAATAGCAGGTACACCCCAACACCATCCTTGGTTTAAGCCTGTGTGGGTTAAGGAGCCACAGGCATTCCAATCCCTGTGCCTCAGTAAAACAGTGCAGGAAAGAAAAGTTGCAAGCATACATATGCTCAAATAACAAATGCTCTTCTTTTAGAAGTGTTTTATCATTGCACATCTGCATATTGATAGTATATGTTTTATGTGTGGAAAAGCAACTGATGGAACTGAGCAGATATAAACTGCAGCCATATTCAAGCATTCTTAAGAATGTGTGAGGACTCTAACTCTGCAGGGAGCACTGGAAACTATACGGTCCCAACCCCTCTCTTTTTAACCGTGGTCTGCAGGGAGATTCCAGCTACATTCAGTTAAATGTGGTTAGGCTGCTCCCATCATCCAGGAACCCTGATAGTTTAGAGAATTTAATTGCGGAGTGGATTTCCATTCCTTACTGGTGGGAATGGAAGAGTCTGTCAGTTTTGATTTTCTCAGTTTCTCATTTGTCAAATCTTAAATTCAGTTCTGCACAGCCATTTGTTATTTCCTTACCAAAAATTCTTTGTGAGAGTTCATCAGCATTTTGGTGCAAAGTTTTCCTAATAAACACCTTTCCATATGCAGTTTTGACTTAATGTACAGATTTTTTGCAAGCAATTTCCCCTGATATAATGCATTTTTGTATGTTATTTTCATGAAAAGCTTCACTTTTTGCACACTTTCTCCTAAAATATGCATTTTTGTAAACATTGTTTGGTAGGAGAACTGCATTGCAAAGTTCAGATAAGTGTGAATTTTAAGGGTACCTGTGCTTCAGGTCCCATATTGTTTTGGAAAATGTGAATTTGATGGAGTCTGTTTTAAATGTATATGTATTGAATGAATTTGAATTTCTTCCCCATTCCTCCCCACTGGTGTATGTGGGGATGCTGGAGGTGGGGCCTACATGTGTGTCTCCTACTCACTTCAATCTCACCTGCTTTCTTTTGTAAAACTGAAGAGAATTGGTGCATGCTCTTGTTCTGGAGTTAATTGTAGAAATTTTACAGGTAAAACTTGAATTCAGGAGGTGTGCAATGCAGGCCAGAGCAAACAAGAAGAACAAGAAGAATGGATTAGGGTACACCCCAACATCCTCAATGTTGGCTTCTCTATAGAACCCAAAGTTAGCAGAAAGCGACAGCCTTTCTAAAACACTCTGCAAGTCACAGTTGAAATAGGCACTTGCAGTCAGTGAGTAACTGAGGTATCGGTACTATGCTGCAATATATATATATATATATTGAGATTGAGAATGGTGTCACCTAATGTGACACAGGCAACTAGCTAAAGCTGTTCGAGTATGTTCTGGAATCAGTAATTTCTCAACATGACTTAATGCTTGCCATGAGTGGAGGCAGGAGGGAGAAATTTAGCTATGTTTCTATAGTGCATTGTCTGCCAACTCTAAAAGAAAGGAGGGAGTCTTAGCATTTCGGCATCAAAATGAATGTCTTCATTGTCCTTCTGCTGTTTTCTTCATCCTATGGGGAGCTGTGAAACAGAAATGAGGATTCAGCTGCTGAAGGGATTAGGTGACAAACAGGCCTACACCCACATTGTCACAAAACAAGTATGGAATATTCTAATGTAGCAATGGCATGGCTTCTGTCTGGTTTTTTTCTTAACCCCCCCTTTTTTCTCTTTAATTATGACCATACTGCAACTACTCCACATTTCAGAATTTGTTCCAAGCAGGCAACTAACAAGTGTTATAATTGTCCAATAATTTCACCTGTAGTGGCTGTCTTTATTGTGGAACAATGTGACAGATCTGCTTCCAAAACACGCGCCCACGAGGGTATCATGTAGCAACGGCTGATTTCTCCTCCATCATTCCAACAGAGGAAAATAACTATATTGCTGAAATGGTTTGGCTTTGACTCTGTTATTTGCAGTGGGGTTGACAGTTCTGAAGCTGGAATTAAATTTCTTTCCTCTAAAGCAGGAGTGTCTACAAAACCAATTTGCTATTTTCCATATGACACAGTGAGACTGTTGTCACCTTGCCTATATGAGTTTGAATGTGCTCAGCCCATTTCTACGCTGTGGAGGTTTGTCAGTAAAAAGCATCTTACTTTAAGGGTGGAAGTAAATCTTCTCAGTCCCCCAAACATGATATTAGGTGACAGAAAGAGCTTTTGTCTTGCAGGACTACAAGAGACCTATAAATCCACTAAATGTGCAGGACAAAAGAGTCGGGGGATTATTCATCTCTAAGAGGAGAGGACTGCTGGATCTCTCTGCATCTGACATGACACACATATACTCCATATATGATACTATCAAGTGTAGTATTTCGGTATCAAACCTGGATATATAATATTTGATGGTGCAAATTGTTTTCCTGTGATTTAATATAAAGAATATTAAATATTCATATTACATATTTAATATAAAGAACACTTAATGTTTGTATGTGGTTTTCAAGCATTCAACATGCTACACATACATTATCTAGTTATAATTCTTACAATAAATCTATAAAGCAGGGATATTCACCGGATGTTGTCTAACTGCAATTCCATCATCCTGTCCCATGATGGAATGGGGGCTAATGGGAGTCGGTGCCCAACTAAAACTTGGGGAGGGCACAGAGGTTCCCCAGCCCCAGGTGGGATAAGTCAATATTATTATCCTTTATATTGCAGATGGGAGGAGCTGATGTGGAGAGGGAGAGGGAGGGAGGAAGGGAGGGAGGGAGACAGGCTTGCCAAAGGCCACCTAGTGAGTAAACTGGACTTACTGCCGCCAGTGCAACTCTTACATCGGATTTGGCCCAATACATTTCCTAGAGAAGAATGTGAGAGAACATAAAAGCTCATGCATGGCTTTATAGAATGTCTACCTTCAGCTGCAAAGTGCTGCAAATTTCAAGACAGCTTCCAGGTACAAAAACTCCATAAATCAGTTGTGTTTGATTAAATTTCTGTATTCCATCTGACTTTTTGCTAATGATTGCAAAAGCAGTATTATTACCCACAAAACAGCTATGTTCTTAGCTTGTTAGCGTTTTTTTCTTCTTTCATGAGCAAGTCTTTCTGTCTGTCGGTTTTGATTTTTAGAAGCTAGCAAGGGCATTTGTCTTCATGTTTACCTCAAAATTGCTAAATTATCAGAATCTTGCAAGGACTGTCTTATTGCAGTTTGGCATACTATTACAAATTCTTTATCCTCCAACATATATCCTAGCACCACTGCCACACATTGTCATGTCTGTAATATGTAATTCAATTGATTATATCTCGTCAAATGGAAATATGTGAAGGGGGGACAAAGTAAAGCAAAGAAATAAGAGTTTTATAGAACCCTTCCCTTCTTTCCTGAGGGAAAAAAATGAAACTTACATAAAATGTTAAAAATAAAAATGACACTTCTGCCCTAACAAATGAATAATTGAGGCAAGCCATCCTTCTCTCTCTAGGATGGATGAAGATGTCCATTTTGGTATTTCTCAGCTTCTCATTTTTCTAGTCTTTGGCTCAGTTTGACACACCATCATCATATTAGTGTGTATTTCTCTAATGCACACATTTCAAAAGCCATACTGCATTTTTGTGTTATATTTACTAATATATACATTTTTATGCACACTTTTCCTAAATACATTATTCAGTTAGAGAACTGCATTGCAATTTTCAGATAAGTGAAAACATTGAAAAATAGTTGCATTCCACTGCATACATATAGTTTTGGGGAGTTCAAATTAGGTAGCTTCTCATTAAAATGTGAACTCATTTTTTTCATCATCCCTGTCTCCTGTACTTTATTAGCCAGTATTTGGCAGAGACCTAAACACTGTGTTTGTGTGTGTGTATGTTTTAGTGCTACTAACTGGACAATGAAACCAGAGGTTTGTTTCAGGCGAAGGAAGTCAATCTTCTAACCTGTCTATCCAGTGATTACTTTTCCCTTTCTAGGCTAAAATGAGAAGAGGGACAGGGATTCACTTAGGTGCCTAGATGCAATTACACATGCCCTTGTCCTTCAGCCAATTCAGTGTAAAAAGAACATTTCTTGCCACAAATTCACATTCAGACCTGCTTTCTGGAGGCCATTATAAATCCTTTGGGAAATTTCTTCCCTCTTGGGACAGAAGTCAGGGCCAAAACTCTAGATTGGCTATTTCCCATTGTGGGGGCTCTCTGCTTTTCTAATCCAGATTGAAGGAGTTGAACACCTGTACCCCATTCAATCCAAAAGCTGCAAAGGAATGAACAATACCAATGCAGCAGCGCTAACTTCAACCAACTTAAACTGAACAAAAGCAGAAGGCTAGGACAACTCCATGACTCCTTAACTATCTCTCATAGATAGGTTTCTGGAAATATCCCCCTCAAACTGAATATGAAATTGTTCCATGCCATCAATTAGCAACAAGCAGGAATTTCACCAGTGGTATATGAAACATTTTCTACTCTGTCAGGCTTCACATTTTCTACCTCCTTAATGACATGAAGCAATTGAATCAAGCCAAATTCTCGTCGAGTCTCTCTTCATTGAGGGAAGGGTAACAGATATTCTTAGGGTAACATTCTCCTCTACAAAAACAAAAACAAAGAAACCTTGCCTTTGGTGGGGGACAGGCATTATGAGGATTGAGATAACTGACATACTCTACTAAGATGGCGTCATGCTGAATCTCATGCTAGGCTCTCCACCATCCCAGGGTGTGCACCAAGGTAGTCCCATGTCATTTAAATACTGCCCCCTTAGGGAAGGAAGCTAAGAGAGGAGACAAGAGCTCATGATTGCACTATTGTCAGCCACTTCACTGTCATGCTGTGTTTACAACTTGGAAGGAAAGGCCTAGATGAAGGCAGGCTGTGATTATGCTTTATCCCTGCCATTTGGTAGTGGGAAAGAGTTGGGAAGAGTCTTGGTGTTTTCCATGGGCTCTTCTGTTCCTCTGCCAGGCACATCCCTAACCTGATTACAAGGTTTGGCTGTGGGGACTTCAGTAATATGAAATTCCTCACACTCAACTTGTAATGGACCATGTCCCTTGCTAAAAGATGTCAAGAGAAGGAGAGAGAAAGAGAAAAGAAAAGTAAAAAATAAAGTACTAAAATCAAGTTCTGAGAGGATGCTGACTAGGTAGGGTTGGTACATAAAGGAGATAAATTAGATCAGAAATGTGGTTGGTTGGCCAATGGCTGATGGTTTTAGGAGTTGTAGTCCAACAACAACTGATGAAGGGTCACAGGTTCCCCACTGCTGTCTAGACTTTTGGCTCTGCTTTCTGACCCAGGTTGAAGGGGTGTTTCAAAAAAATCAAGCTTTTCAGAAGCCAGAGAGAATTCCAGGGAAGCTCGCTCAAAATCTTGCTTTAAAGAGAACTTGCTTGCTTCCCCTTTTACATCTAGATGGTTTTTTCTGAGACTCATAAGAAAAATATAACACAACATAAAGACAGAACTCTATTTGTGTAGTCTTTTTTGAACCTAATAGCATTCTATTATTGCAAGAACTGTATAAACAATGGCTCTGATACAGCTAAAATTAGTTATGACTAAATGTCATCAAAGCAAAGAACAAGTTGCTGATCACTTAAGTCCCATTGCTTTCAAAGAGCATTTTAGGAGCATGACCTTAAGCAGATTTACTGAGAAATCATCAAGTTCAATGTACTTTCTATGTGAAGGTGAATATAAATTGCATCTAATTGCAGCTGGATTTAGAAAGCGTTGAACAATTCAAAGATATATGTTACCTACTTGCTCCTTGTCTTAAAAGTGCATGACCAAGGTGCTGAATTTTGTTTTCTCACAAATTTATCCAACACATGAACTGGGAACTGGTGTTATACCAATTAGACCCACCCTCTAGCATCTACAGATACAGTGTGAATGTCTGTAGGGAGGAAGCCTTTGACCATTATAGTTACATACAAGGGTTCCAGGTCAGATGGAAGCTTTCACACATACATTTGTAAGCAAAAAGGCCCTCTTGCAGACAGCCATGTTGAAAGTGTGGCTTCACCAATGCCCCTTCTCACGCTGGATGAACTTGGGAATAAAATGCCTGATCAGGGCATTGAACACAGAGTTTTTGTGTATGTGACAAACTGCTAAATCCCAAGTGGTCAGAAGCTAGCATTAATATTAGGATTTAGGTGGATTATAATACCTGCTGCTATTTTTACTTTTCGTTTTAGATGCCAATCCTGAACATGCTTACGAGGAAGATAATCTCACTGAAATTCAGCTGGACTTTGTTCAAAGTAAGCTATGCTTAGGAATGGGCTGTAATCTTCTTTCTGGAACTGACTTCTGTTGATGACAAGATAAACTGAGCTAGTGACCACTGCAGTGACCCAGTAGCATGGCATTTCTCATATTCTAAAGCTTCTGCTAAAGCTTCTCCAAATTCTATTTACTGTGCAATGGTTCACTGATAGGAAAAATGGATGCTCAGCATTTGATTTGATATTTTATACAAAGTACAGCACAGTTCCACTTCATTTGTGAACTGACAGATCTCATACTGCACATTTGCAATCATAGCAATGGTTTCGAAAACAAACCTGATAATTTTGGTTTTGATATAACAGAAAGGTCAGTTCTCACTGTACCATGAAAAAAACTATATATAAAAACTTTTGAATTTAAACACACACAGACAATCAATCGCTTCAGTTTATCTCACTGAAATCTAGGGTGTCAAAATAGGATATAAAATAGAGCACTTCAGAAAATGCAAGGTATATTTTCCCCGCTGGCTACAGTTGACCAGTTTAAATAGTTTTTGTGCAGTCTGAAAATTACAATGAGTCTTGCTTCATCTTATCTGCATCTGCTGCATGCCAATGTCAATATAGAAGTTTTATTTTCCTGGGAGAATGTCACTGTCAATGAAATGCATCAATAACTGTAATTCTGAGTTTAAAGATGTGACTTCAGTTCCAGAATATTGAATGTGAAAAGGCTGTCATAGTGTATCGTACTACATTATCCAAACATAGTAGAAAACACTATGATTCTCTGCCCTGATGCTGAACGTATAGTCAAGCTTGATTCAGGAGATTTCATGTTATTGAAAGAGGCACACAAAGCCTGACTGGTTAAAATAAAAAATATTAAGAAGAAAAAACATGTAGGGAAACATGAAGGGCAGTATCCAGGGAAGTAGTTCTGCTAGTGCAAAGACTTCTGGATGAACAGTGGAATGCCCCCCCCTCCCCTCCCTGTGCACACCCTAAATCTGTTCCAGGGTTTCCCCAAATCCTTCACAGCAGATCTGTGGAAGCTGAGGTGTGTGTGCCATTGCACACACATAAATCCTCATGCTAATGGAACTACAATGCTGGATACCATCCAAAATGTTTTGTTCGTTCTGCAATAGTTCTTTCCCCATGTTATGAATAGGGGATCAACATTACAGAAATACTACTGTACCTTCTTTCCACAGTTTGAACCACCATGGCCACTTCTACAGGCACAAACATTTGGCTTGACACATCTCCCTCCAAACTGGCATTTCGGCTCGCAAACAGCTGCAACAAAACAACTTGTAAGTATCATTTCTATTTAAACAACAGCAATTATATTAAACTATTCAGTTACATCAGATTTTGCATCAGATTTCCTTCAGTTGCATCAGATTCAGTTGTGAAGTGGTTCCCGCCCCCCGCCCCCCCCCCATTTCACAGTTCTTTCAACCCTCGGAAGTCATCCACATGCTAACTCAGTGTGGATCAGATTTGGGGGCTTGATTGCACCTTTCGAATTTCAGGCATTTGGAACTGGATGGTAAAAGCCACCAATCCATGCTGTGTTCATCCAGTGATGTTGGTTTTCATATCACCAGCCCAGAGTCAGGCAGCCTGATCCAAGAACAGCAGCTGCCATGGGCTGGAAGAGTTTTGTGAAGAGGCTCCAAAAACCTATTAACATACTAAATCTGTACATAACTTTTTAGAGTGGTCTGTTTGTGTGGGCATTGTAAGGATAAAAAACTGAACCCCTCTAAGACTGTAGTACCTTGTTCTGATGACATGAGAATACCATTCACTGAAAAGAAGGGGCAATCTCATAACAAAACGCTCTTCTAACATTGCACTGTTCACGTGAGTGGATTACTTGCACGAGCAGTTCTCTGCATGAGTTAGCCAACTGTAAAGCAAGGTCTGAGGGACTAATGATTCTGCTCCTATAATAACTTTTTATTAAGGAGAGAGAACAATAACTTCTGTGAATGGGAGCTCTTCATTCCAAAGCCATTACATGCTTGCTTCTCATTGTCCTTGCCTATTATCTTGAACTAACAGAGAAAGGCAGAAGACTCTAATTTCTCCTCTTTAATAAATACGTACTGTAAGTATGGGGTCTGAGTTCCATTGGTGAATGGGCCCAGAGTGACCTTTTCAGTTCCAACAAAATAACACACACACTTTAAGATAACCTACTTTGAAGAACTAACAACGACTTCTGTTTATAATACATTACCTTACCCATTAATATAGATTATGCAGATGATGACAATGGCCCCGTATTGTAAATCTGAACCATGCCCCTGCAACTACAGCAGCTGTGATCCATGAAAAACTGGGCTCACCTAAATTCCATTAGTAGTATCAGTGGAAATTAAGCACTTCATTCTATGCTTAACTCCAGAACTTTTTCAATAGGACTCTGAAACACCTTGGTTCTTCTGGCTTAAACACTGTGCCTCATCGGCCTGCCATGTTGCCAGAAAGTACCAGCTCACCTCCATGTCAAGGTCCTTCACAATCACATTGGCTCAAAAGTCTCAGTTTTGCTTGTAAATGTTAGCCTGCAAGGTCTAACAAGGTGTGCAATCACCTTCTGTTGAGATGAACAAAGGAGTGCCCCACTCATTATACACTGGCTAACGCTTAATCTCTTCCATTTTCCTAAATCATAGCCACATATAGATGGCAAGCACAGTGAAGAGGGATGCAGGGTCATGCATTCAGTCCTGCCTTCAAACTTCCACTGCCCCTCCCACCCACCTTGTGGCCATGTCTGCAGCACAATGCCTGCACCAAAGAGACTTTTCTAGGCAGGGAAGTTCCCCTGGGCAATATAGAGCCCTGGGCAAACAACAATGTTGGGTGCAGAAGAAACAGCAGAACCTTTGGAGCAGAGCTAAACATGCTGTGTGCAGTTCCTTTCATCATGCTTGTCCCTTACATTGGCTCCCCCCCAAAATCTCAACAACTTTGGTTAATCCAATGGGTAGATCACTGCCAGTTTTTTTTATAGTGGGAGTAGATCACAGTCTCTTGGGAGTTGGACATGCCTGCATTAGAGCAATGAGGCAGGAAGGCCCAAAGTCCTAGAATGACCTCTCAAGTATTACTGCATCACACCCACCTAGACTGCAGACTCCCCCTTCTGTCAAGAAGAAAATGACAATCAATGGCTGATGGGCCATGTTTGGATAGAAGATCACAAGCAAATATGGATTAGATTGGGTTACACCCCTGGCACAAATCTGTAAACTATCTGCATAATCCCCTGAATTCTATAGACAGATGATTAGGAAAGAGCACTGCAGCACACAATCCACCTTCTATACAGGATGAAATGAGTTTGCTTTAGTTCATCTAGTCTAATGTGATAAATAACCTTTTGAAATATCACCACTTTGTAAAAATAAATAAACAGGATTATGAAGTGTTTATAAGTAAGATAGTTCACCATTTCAAGCTTGTCTGGACATATAATTTATTTTCTAATGCTGGCAAGCTATTTTATGAATCTAAAAGATATATCAGTTCATTAAAGTTATGCATCATATCACTTGTGTGACTGACCCCTGCTTCTGTTTGAGTGGTATTCCGCTAAAACCCAGCTATGTTTCCCGCCTTCATAAAAGTTAAGGCAAAAGGACTGCTGATTTCAAGCCAGTTTTTTCCTCTCCTAATTAGCAGTGTGTGCTCCTATGACATTGTTTTGGCAGAGAAAAAAGAGAACAGCCAATTCATAAGGCACTAGTCCAAGAACACACATGTCATGTTATTATTTTAATTAGATCTCAGGAGCTGAAATTTCTGTAATTTCTTTTTAAACAACAAAATCTTTCCTAGCAGCGAACTTATACTGATTATAGCCAATGTTGTTTTGATACAATGTTATTTGAATTGCCTGTCTGTGTGGCAAAGAAACCAGAAGTCACTAGCAAAATACAGTCTCTCTCTCCCTCTCTCTTAAATTGTGTGGTACAATAAAGTTATAGATTTGTTACTGGGTCTGTATTGACACACCAGTTTATTCCCTGTCCCCACCATTTTTTAGCTGTTAATTTCCACATGATAATTGAGTTTTCACACAATGTAAAAACCATGTCTGGAAATACAGTGCAAGTTTAGCACTGATTTCTATGTTATTTGCAGGTGAGCTTTTTTTCTGGAAGCAAATAACGTGGAAATGAGAACTAAATTTGAGCTATATTCCCCATGCCTCCTCCCCCTCTCTTTCAGGAATGGGCAGTGATACCTCAGAAGGCAGGTGAGTAAAGATACCCTACCTGTACCACCAGAACCAACCGCTGCTGCTGAAAGGTGACCAGCTTCTACCATTGTGTGCCACTGAATAGGAAAAGTGGAATTCAAGGTCATTACCAGAATGTGTCATGAACCAGAGGTAGCCTTCCAGGGAACAACCGCACAAGCCACTGTTGTGCGAAACTGAGGTGTATTTGCAGTTCTCATCCAAATGAGCAGGGCAGAGGAAAATCTTACACACCCTTGCAAGTTGCTTAGCCAAGATGGCATTATCCTTATCCATATATCCATCCTATTCTGCTAGCTATCACTACCTATCTTGCGATGATCATTGTCTGTAATCCAAAGAATTGCTTTAGCTCATGTAGGAGCTTTCATTACTTTCTTCCTAGGACAGCTGAACCTAGTGCCCTATCACAAACTGCTTTTCAACATCCTCTCAGCTCCAACATAGTTTGTCGTGCAGCATAAGTTTCTACCTGAAAAATGCAAGTCTCAAGCTGCCTTTGGTGTATGGAACTAACTCCATAGACAGTTGATTCCTAGTCATTATGCTACTGTACATGCGGGTGGCGCTGTGGGTTAAACCACAGAGCCTAGGGCTTGCCGATCAGAAGGTCGGCGGTTCAAATCCCCACAACGGGGTGAGCTCCCGTTGCTTGGTCCCTGCTCCTGCCCACCTAGCAATTCAAAAGCACATCAAAGTGCAAGTAGATAAATGGTACCGCTCCGTCGGGAAGGTAAACGGCGTTTCCGTGTGCTGCTCTGGTTCACCAGAAGCGGCTTAGTCATGCTGGCCACATGACCCGGAAGCTGTACGCTGGCTCCCTCGGCCAATAAAGCGAGATGAGCACCGCAACCCCAGAGTCGGTCACGACTGGACCTAATGGTCAGGGGTCCCCTTTACCCTTTACCCCTTAATGTTTATGAACATCAGCGGTATAAAAGACTATTGCTAAAAATAGAATTTTTGTTCACACAGAGATAAGAAAGCCTTTCCCCACCACACCTGAACTTGTACATTTTCCAGCAGCATATGGCTGGTTACTCTTGTACCCAGAATGATAGACTACATAAACGTTTGATCTCATACAGCATTTCTTGAGCTCTGATTAGAATTTGCTGGTTTGTACACAGATGGATACCTTGCACCTGCGATAAGCCTTCTGTTTCTTAAGAGCTCAGAGAAAGGCAGAAGACCACAGGTGCAACTTGGACCACTGCAGTGATGCAATAACAGGGAAAATAAATCACCAGTCCATTTAAGAGTTCTAAGGCATACAGAAGCTCTATGCCAGATGGAATATGTCAACCTGGTTGTATAGAATTATATGCTTACAGGGAGCGGAGCTGTTTATCGTATTACAGAAGTAATGTAATAGAATTCTGAGATGTAAGACATTGGATGCACAAAAACGGACCAGGAGAAACTCCACTGCCTAGAATATGTAATAAAACAATAGGCATTACATTATATCAAAGAACTATCTTGCACATGAGGTGAGGAAATTAAATGAGCTAATGGGGCACAGTATGTTAAAGGGAAGTATAACTAGCAAAAAAATAATAATTCAGTACTCAAGTAGAACACACTCCCATTCTACCCCACGTATTATTGCAAGGAGAGTTAAAACATTTCAGAAGAAAATTGGAATGGAAATCAGAAGATAATAACATAGCTGGGGTTTAAATGAATATTTCATAAATGCATTTACAAGGAACATCAAACCACTAAACACTAACAATGACACAGGCATTATCCTCTATCGTCTTGGCAAGGAGTGCTGTTTAATAAGCCAAGTTTGTGCTGAAATTATAATCAATAAATGCACCATACTATATAAAAAAAGTTTCCCTGTGTGCTAAAAAGAACAGAGCATAATTTTCATGCAAATAACAACCTTTGTTGAGAATGTTACCTTCCTTGTATAAATGGAATAGAAAATCTGGAAGCAAGAGTATAAAAGTGATAGAAGCAGCAAAAGGTTCATAAAATCATGAAGCTGCAGATTTGACATGCGAATGGAAGGAAACTGTTCCTGAAGGGCAAATGAGAAAGCTAGTGTGTGTTCAATAATATTATATTAGAACAGATGATAACCAGCATAAATGACAGGGAGGTCAGTGAAGAGGATTTCCCCTTAATTTCAGCTTCATTCATTTTTCTAATTAATTCCTAGGATGTTTCCAAACACAGCAGTTTGCAGTGTCAGACACGGCGAATGAGTGCCCTCAGCAGCTGCATACCGAATGAGGACCCCCGTGCTGATATTTGCCAGTCCAAAGGGAATGGAATCATTACTGGCAACACAGCCATGGCAGTGTCAAGTCAGGTCAGCCACCACTGTGCCAAACCCCTTTCATTTAAAAAAAAAAAAGCCTCTTTGGAAATTGGAAAATGAACTGTGAACTGCAGCAAGTGGAAGATGTAGCTGTTGATTTTAGAAGAGGCGGGTCTTAACCTGACATTGGAAAGAATCAATGGATTACATGAAGAGCTCCCACACGTCCACCTCCATAATCTGAACAATTGTCCAGGCAAGCCTCAAAGGCCAGGCTTCCAAGATGAATACCAGCCTGGCAAACCTAGATACTTCATACTGCTTGCCAGTTATGGAAGCTGTTGTGTATACAACTCCCAATGGTCACTATGCATGAAGAAGGCTCCAAGGCTCTTGATTTCACACACAGCCTACTAGACACTGCACATTCAGTGTCTCACCACAGTGAATCCCATACTTAGGTCATGGAATTCCTGGTTTAAGTTCTGGAATCCTTAAATAAAATAAAATCTTAAAACATCTTGTTTAATCTTAAATAGAAATGATTTATAACCCCCAAATGCTTTATTTTTAATTTGTCTTTGTAGATTTTTAAACACTCTGTACCCATTTAGTGAACATTTGGACCAGCATATATTTCTTCTTTCCTCTTCAGTGTTTTAGTTTTCTTAATTTTATATAGTCATATTTGGAGTCTTTTAAATAATAAATAAAAGATGCAAAGTGAGGATCTTTACTGGTGGTGCCCACTGTGAAATGATTTCTACTGCTCAAAGAGTAGTACATCAGGTGAAATAGCTATGTTGGCTTTCACCTATTCAAAACTATTTTTAAAAAACTGAATGATCTCATATTGGACAAAACAGTTTTCAGAATAAGAAAGTATGATAAGCCAACTTGCTGTGATTAGAACTTTTGCAGAATTAATAGAGGAACCAAAATAATATTTTGCTCTCTCTCTCTCTTAAGCGTGCATGCTGCATACTGTCAGACAACAAGAGGAAACATTAAAGCAAAATCAATCAAAACATGGGGAACCAGCAGGTGGTCATAAGTGTTGGTATTGCTATTAGCAATCTGCCATTTATTTTCAACTGAAGCATTATGGTGGGGAGCCCTATAGATGCTTATTATTTCCTCCATGTAAGTACTTTATGCATGAAATGATAACGTGATTATATCCCCCCCAACCCGTTCAACATGAAAAACTGCAAGTTTGTTTTACTTAATTTGACTTCTATGCAGAAAGACAGAGACAGTTTTTGAGGTTGAAATAAATGTGCTTTCCCAATTTATACTTAGCCACCAAGAAGATTTCTGTCATACCATTAAAACTGCAAGAGCAGGTACACTTACTTGGGAGTAAGCTTCCTGAATTTAGTAGCACTAGTTTCTGGGCACCTGGAGAAGGAACTGAAAACCACTCCAGTATTTTGCCAAGAAAACTCCATGGACATAAAAAAAGGAGAAGCTTTGAGAAGAAAGTGAGCATTTCCAAGGCATGCTCTGGTTCATGGGGTCACGGAGAGTCGTACACGACTAAGATGACTAAACAACAAAATTTGTGGGCAAATGTGCATATGATAAGCTGCATCCCCTACAGCAATGATAGTTTGTGTGCATAGGCTTTGCCATTTGCTCTGCAGATCTAACAAAGACTAAAAACGGTCTATTTAATTGTGTGCATTTGAAGGGCAGGGGGAAGAGAAATTGAAAGAGACAACTTGGATGAAGATTCCAGTGCAATCCTTTCTTAGGATTCCTTTTTTTTGGGAGGTGTATTAAATTTGGAACAAATAATTCAGTATAATGAAATAAATCAGATATTTATTGTTTCTACACTCATAGTTTGCATACATTTCAAAGTTCATGCTCTCCACTCTGAAATGTGACTGGTGCTGACATGACTTTTCAGCACCAGCCTCTTTAACCAGGGATTGAGTTTACCTGGCCAGCTACACATATATCTGTAATTAATCTACTGCTCTGTTAAAGTATTAGTTGTACTTTAAATAATGCTCTGGGTTAGTGGAGGATAAAGCTACCAGTGGCTACTATTCCGGATGGCTGTGCTCTGCCTCCATTGTTAGACCCAGTATGTTTCTAGATACCAGCTTCTGAAAACTACAAGAGGTGAGAGAGCTCTTGTGCTTGGGTCCTGCTTGCATCCTTTCCGTAGGCATCTGTTTGGCTACAGTGAGAACAGGATGCTGGACTAGATGGACCATTGGCCTGATCCAGCAGAATGTTATGACATTATTATGTTAGTGTTTGTGAGTTGTTGTTTTTACCATAGTCTACCATAGTTGCGGGATGCGGGTGATGCTGTGGGTTAAACCACAGAGCCTAGGACTTGCCGATCAGAAGGTCAGCAGTTCGAATCCCCACGACGGGGTGAGCTCCCATTGCTCGGTCCCTGTTCCTGCCAACCTAGCAGTTCAAAAGCACATCAAGAGATAAATAGGTACCACTCTGGCGGGAAGGTAAATGGCGTTTCCGTGTGCTGCTCTGGTTCGCCAGAAGCGGCTTAGTCATGCTGGCCACATGACCTGGAAGCTGTGCGCCGGCTCCCTCGGCCAATAAAGCGAGATGACCACTGCAACCCCAGAGTCGGCCACGACTGGACCTAATGGTCAGGGGTCCCTTTACCTTTACTTTACCATAGTTGCATTGTAGCCTACCCTGGGATCATCACCAAATATGCAGATGGGAAAACTATAGTTTGGAGAAGCTAGGGATTGACATGAACATGGTTCCCACAATGTCAAATCAATCCACTCTCCTCATTATTAGGCTTTTCAAAGTCTGTGCTGTTTACCACATTTTCCAGTTACTTTAATTAATAGCATGCTTCTTTTCCCAACTGAAAGCATACCATATTAGTCAGGCCAAGGGCAAAAGCAAGCAAACAGAAAATGTAACTATGACCAAAGCTCAACAAGTACTTACGAATCTGGCACAGGAGACCCACCCATCCTGCCGCGCACTGGCAGACATTAGGTCCGATACATTCCCCACCATTTGAGCAGCTGGGCAAGCAAACAGCTGAACAGAAGAAAAAGGTGAAAAGAGGCAAATGAGAGGATCTGCAGGATGCCCCCATTGTTCGTAAGTGAATGGCATGTGTTAGCTTCCCTCAATTATTTTCAAAATGGTCGAATCTCAAAAGAGCTTAATGAGCATTCTTCACGAGGCAATTAGCATTCTGAAATTTCCATGATTAGAAAGTTCTCCTTAATCTCTGTTAGTCTGACTGCTAGTTTCATCACGGATTTGTTCCAAAGGCAGATTCCCTGGCCATTAAAATTTCATTTCCTATTAGGGCTTGAAGCCTTAATTGATTGATTGGTGTGATTAGCTGAGTAATCCATTAATTTCAGACTAAACTTGTGGGTATTAAATGAGATTTTAACCAGATCAGTGCCCTTTAAAGGGTGCTGAGGGGCAGTATCTTTGCTGTAAACAATCTGCATGCATCAATCAGGCCAGCGCAATGGCTTAGGATTTCCCAGTCAATATTCACGTAAGAGGTGCTAGTGGTTATATGGAAACTTGCCTCTGTGCAACCAATGATTTTGCCCCTTATCTGGGCTGAGATATCATCAAGAATTCACTACCAGGCAAGTAGCCATGGCTGTACACAGGGTCCTATCCGTGATCTGCTTAAAAGCATGGGGCATAGGTCAGGGAAAAACTTGCGCAAGCAGATCCCACAGACCCAGCCTCATGAATGAGCTTGAATACGAAAAAGGACTCCTGGGTTGAGAGGAAGACAGAATGAATAGCATGCAGACCATGCCAAGGGGGGAGGCCAGCCATAGTAGGAATTTATGATTTTCTTGTAGTAGTGGGTTGTGAATGTGCTTCACATTTTAACTATTATTATTTAGTTATGTTTTTGCATTACCTTTCAATGTAGCTTTCTAAACTGATACACACACAAAAATAGAAAACAACTGATCAATAATACATTATATAGAATAAACAACACAAATCCATGCAATATAAAATAGTTAGCAAGCATTAACTATAAGCTGCCCTGCATTTAAATGTACTATCAGCTACTTGCTCGGTGCTTCTTCTCCTGGAACTGTGTGGTGTAATGGCTTTGGCCTCAAGTCTGAAGAGATGCTGCCTTCCCTTGACTGTCTTATGTGGGACTTCTGAGCCCCATCCCCTTCAATATTCAACAAAGACCAAGTATAGGCTTGCCTCTTGAGGTGCTACTTGATCCTGGACTATGGGTGATAACCTATGAAGTAATACTCAGAGCATAGAAATCAATTAGCTTAAGTTGAGGAAGGGGCATAGGTCAATGGTAGAGCATCTTCTCTTTATATAGAAGGTCCCAGACACAATGCTTGGCATCTCCAAGTAGAGCTGGGATAGACCTCTGAAACCTAGAGAGCCACTGCCAGTCACTATTTTCCAGGGATAGTCCCAGATTTTACAGAAGCCATCCTGGTTTCTTATTTGATCCCACTTTTCCTTAGGACGTTCCCATTTTCAATGGAGAAATGTTTGAGGGTATGGTAGGATGTCCCCATTTTCAATGGAGAAATGTTGGAGGGTGTAGAGTTATTCAACCCCCCAAGCCATCTGAAGGCAGCCCTGTATGGGAAAATTTTATAATGTTTAATGTTTGATTATGTTTTCATATATGTTGGAAGCCGCCCAGAGTGGCTAGGGCAACCCAGGGTTTAAGTAGCAAAATTATTATTATGGAATAGGACATCCCTGTTTTCCTTGACAAAATGTTGGAGGGTATGCAGTCAGTGTAGAAAATACTGAGTTAGATGAGCCAATGGTCTGACTTGGGTTGTCAGATCCCTATGTTCTTCATAAATTACTTAAATCCTAGGTTGCTTGATTCCATTGTGTCTACTCTGAGTATAGCTAACATTGGATAACACCCTATGTTTTTGAGTGATGAGGGTACTAACTGGCTGTCTGGGGCACAGTTAATATTTGAGAACCTCAGGAATAGCAGGTGTTGTGCCTTAGCAATAATGATAGAATGAAACCCAGTGCTGAATCTTGAAATGTTTTATCAGCAAGACAGATACGATGTGTCAAGCCAGTATATTAATAAGTCTTCTGTACAGTTTGTTATCTTCATTTAAAATTTATTCAGCTTATCTACCAGCATCATAATAATGAATAACCATGTAAGGGGGTGGAAGTTATTTCCCCAAACATTTTCAGATCAGATGACTTATTTGACTTATATTTTTTATGTAAACTGCAGTCAAATGTGGTTAGGCTTAACAGTGTAAATTATGCACTGAATGAATGTGCTTGTGATGACCTTGAGAATATATCGGCATAGAAAGGCTTTTACTACAGGCTTTAAATAGTTCTGGATTTGAAATATATGTCATTTCTCCATAAAATGTAACAAAATATGTGTGGCTGCTAAAACAGAAAATCAATACTTCACATTTAATACTACAAAAACTGAATTTCTGCAAAGAAAAATCTGCATAGCAGATAGACAGCTGCATAAGACAGGGGAAGGGTGGTTTTTTTTCTTTTTAATCTTTCTATTCGGAAGCATAAAATGTTTATATCAATTTGTATTGCCAATATATAAAACTGTTTTCTCCACAAAGTCCTGAAGCAGCAAAACTAGATCATTTGCTATATGGCATCCTAGCATTTAAAAGAGATTACAATTCATGCTGGCAGGCCTGAGTGATAAACAAATAGCGTCTTTTTGTATGGGAAGGAGCTCGACTCACGTTTACTGCAGCGCTTTCCTTTCCAGCCAGATGGGCAGTCGCAAATGTCGGGGCTGATGCATCTTCCTCCATTCATACACATAGGATCACAGACACCTGCAGTGTGGCATAGTTAAACAAGGGGAATGACTGAGGAATATTCAAGACTCCCCCTGTCCAAAAAAATTAGTTTTGTTTCGGTTTTGTTGCAAGTTTTGTGATGGCAAAGTTTTGTGTAATTAAAGACAAAAAGTAATTTGGAAGTGAAGAAGTCTTAAACTTTGGGATTTGAAAGCTTTAGTAAATCCTTCTAGAAATCTGCTGAGGTCCACTGCGTGCGAGAGACATTTCAAGGAGCCTTCAATAAGAGCTGCTTCGCCAGAGAAATGAGGGAGACATTAATTACAATGATTCTTGAAAAAGTAAACAAGAAATCTTCAGTGGCAGATGTAGGCAGACCAATACCACTTATTACTGCTGATTGCCAAATTCTTGTTAAAGCCATTCCCCTCCTGATTGGAAAACATATTCTCAGGCATTCATCTGGATCAGCAAGAGCTGGTGGAGAATTGATTAGTTTCACACAATTTGAGGAATGCGTTTGCATTTTATCCATCAAGGATAACAGACAAGATAAGGCTGGAATTGCTGGTGGTTAGAAGAAAGATAGGAAAAATGGCTAAGCAAACACTATTTCAAACATTTATTTCAAAGTCCTTTGGCCCAAGTGGGCCAATTTCTGTGGCTTGGGGAGATAATAATGGTGACCACAGCTGGCTATCTCAAACATCTGCAGCCCAATGTACCAGGAACCAAATTAGAAATGAGTAAATTGGAGAAAGCTACTTAGTGATAGACTCAGTTTGATCTTATCCTTGTTTACTCAGAAGAAGGTCCCAGTGACTACAATGAGAGTTACTCCCAAATACATGTGCCCAGGACTCCAGCTTTACAGCACAATGCAATGCATGCTTGCTCAAAAGTAATTCCCATTGGCTGACTCACAAGATTGCATCATTCGTTTCCGGTAGCAGAACTCTGCTTGGGACTCTGGAGTGCACCTGCCAGTCAAAATATTATTTATTCTTATTTTCTGCATTTAGTAAGGACTGTGCTAAATGCACTGCTGATCTGATCCAGGAGTTTCATATTACAATACATACAGAATGATATTCAGTTGCAGTCCATGGGTTGGCTTAGAGATATTGTCAGGGTGCTGTCAGTGATTCCGGCTGTTGCCCAGGAATGTATAAAGACAATGGAAGATTTCTTACTGTCCTTTTTATTCAGTATTTACAGAGAGAGGCTATACAACTCAACCTCTTGGATAATGGCATTGTTCTCAGTGAATTTCCACCCCTCCGTCTCTCCCACTTCCACATTTGTCACGTCTACAGGTGCTGATAAGTGCCCTGTGTCTTCGAGCTCTTTGGTCTCCTACTTTCAAGGCTTGCCAGGTTCTGGGAGAGGGTGGGTCTGGAATGCTTTCTAATGACATGTCAGCCATGTGTTGCTCTGGCTCTCCCATCATTTCCCAACTTTCCCTCTCATCTGCCTGTGAGCTGTGACCTCCCATAAACCCCTGCTGTAAATCTATACTGTCTTCCTCCTCCTCCTCCTCCTCTTCCTTGGAAGGCTTAGGAGAAGGGGGAACAGTCTCCACCATCCCTCCTTTGCTCAGTCCCTGACAGATATGGAGACATGCTTCCGACATTGGTCTCACCATAGTTTACTTGGACGGGGCAGGGTGGTAGTGGGAAGTTTGGGGCTACATATTGGATTCACATTGGTGGATCCAATCTGGTACTCCCAGCAGTATGCTAACACAGTCCTAACCTCACCACCCTCTGCCCCAGCCCATCCCTATCCAAATAGACTGCAGTAATGCTGGTATCAGGAGAGAAGGTCTGTGGCTCCATCTCACTACATAGCCTCAGAATTTTTGGCCTTAGAATTTTGATCACAAACCATGACCCTCTATGCTTCATTACAGGCTTTCAGCAGCCTAGAACTCAGCTAGATTGGTAAAGAAAAGGCGTTTTATATGCGCTGTATAAGCATTATAACACTGTGGCACCAGGTGGCACTGTGAAGGTCCGTTTTTGCCAATGCGATTTGTCATACAAAGTTTGCAACAAATTTAACTGAAATGCTTCTTTGATGTTTCTAGATCCAGCCTTATTCTGCACCCCAGATCTATCATAGTAGAATACCACCATACCAGTACATTTGGGAAATGAAAGTTAGCAACTCTTTTTCAGATATGGAGAGGAGGAGGGACAGACGGACTAAAGGCTAGTACTCCAGAATCTAGCTTTGTAAGAGACAATGAGTTATTTTATCCTGCCCTAGTTTCACCAAAGACTCCTAAGTAAGCTTAGCAGTGAATGAATAAGAGGAGAGGTCCCTTGATCTGTTGAGTCCCTGTTCAGTTATATGTACTAGAAGATTCTTGCTATGTAAAGTCAGTTTATAGTGAGCCATCAATGCAGATAAATGCAGTATTTTCTCCCTTGCTTCCTTTTGCTAACACCATTGCCTCATTCTCCCATTTCTTAATTTTCTTTAAATACAATTCCATTTTCAATACCCACAAGGCAGCCTTCAACATTTGTCGGTGATAACTAGCTCCAATCTAGATCCCACTTTAGGCCTCGGTGGAAAAACTCCAATTTTAAAATAGCAAACAAAATGTTACAGGCTCTCATTGGGAAACTAAATAAATTATCAGACATTGCAAACAAACTGAATTATCCTAATCCTCCCAGGAGCAAGCATGACTTTGAAAAAGATTCAGGATTTCTTTCCTGCAGAAATGCATCACATACTGACCCCACAGATCATGAAAATTCATTTTTTCCCCTACCTACCAGAGGGGAAATCTTATATAAAAGCAATCCATTGAGTAATTGCCACAGGAAATGGAGAGTTCCATTTTAAAATTCTTTTCCATTTTTAAAAATAATTTGTTGTTGATAATGAGGAAAAATAACCTTTAGCAGAAAAAAAGAATTGCTAACTAGAAAAGTATTAAGCAGAATAGGTGGTATAGATAACGTTTCCAATAAATTGTTTTGTTTAATTTCTGCTTAAGAGCAAAATCACAATTGTCAGAGCTTCTTGGTACATTGTTGTTAGGACTGAAACAAATGGCCAGGCTGAAATACTGCTTTCCAGGGGCTGAACTAACACCCCAATTCTCCCCTTTCTTTTTCCATGTTGATTCCTGTTGTCTGCTAATGTGTCACTTTTTGTTAGTGCTTTGGTGGCATAGTTTGGATCTTCCTGTTCCTGAGAATAGTGACATGGATAATCTCAGCCAAGTGGTAAACATGCTGCAATCACGAAGCCATAAATCCAATCAGATTTGACGATAGCCACAATCACACCATACATGTAAAGCACCATGATACCACTTTGAACAGTCATGGCTCTCCCTAAATAATTGTGTAGTTTGTTAATTCCAAGAGTCTGTTTGTAGAGGGGTTGATTATGAAGCCACTCTGGGAATTATAAGTTTGTGGGGTTCACCCTGTATGATGACCTCTATCAAGACAGAGGCAGGGAAAATGTGTCCTTGTTAATTTTCCTCAACTGTTCGGTGGTTTGTTTGTTTGTTTTGATACCATCAACTATGGTATCATTCTGGAGTGCCTGAGTTAGGGGTGGGTGTCACCGCTTTGTGGTGCTTCTGGTCCTACTTGGATGGTCATTTCCAGAGGGTGATGCTTGGGGAGTGCTCTTCATCCTTGTGGAGCATTCAATGGTGGGGGGTCCCTCATAGTTCAATTTTATCCCCCTTGTGTTTAACATCTACATCAGGGGTGGCCAACTTCAAAGAGACTGCAATCTACTCACAGTTAAAAACTGGCAGTGATCTACCCCCTTCAGGTAAAGGTTGTTGAGCTTTTTTAGGGAGGAAGAAAGTGACACTGAGCTCTTTTTAGGAAGGAAAACCCTGTTTTTGGTGGTTCAGGTCAAAGTTGTTAAGCTTTTTTTAAGGGAGCCAAAGTTTTTTAGCTTCTTTGGGGGGAGCTACTGATCCACCCATGATTTACTGGTAGATCACGATCTACCTGTTGGACATGCCTGATCTACATGAAACCTCTGAGTGGGGTCACCCAGAGTTTTCAAGTACAATGTCAGCAAAATGCTGATAGCACATAGCTCTACTTTTCCTTTACATCTGCAGCTGTGGCAGTGGATGTGCTGGACCATTTTCTTGCCCCAGTAATGGACTTCTGTCGGCTGTCATTTGTGGGTGGAAGGGGGAGTGCCTCCATCTAATCCATCCCCTGCCCTCAGTCCAGCATAAGGGATGTTTGGATTCGTCTGTTATTCACTGAAAATTCATAACTGATATCCACATAATACATTGAAATTGCCCATTCCAGATAAGGTGGATCATCATGTAGTATCTATCTAACTTTCTATGGTATTGAAGTAGGGATGCGGGTGGCACTGTGGTCTAAACCACTGAGCCTCTTGGGCTTGCCGATTGGAAGGTTGGCGGTTCGGATCCGTGTGACAGGGTGAGCTCCTGTTGCTCGGTCCCAGCTTTTGTCAAACTAGCAGTTTAAAAGCACATCATTGCAAGTGGATAAATAGGTACCGCTGTGGCAGGAAGGTAAACAGCATTTTTATGTGCTCTGGCTTCCTTCACAGCTTCCCATTGCGCCAGAAGCAGTTTAGTCTTGCTGGCCGCATGACCTGGAAAGCTTTCTGTGGACAAACGGCGGCTCCCTCGGCCTGTAGCGAGATGAGCGCCACAACCCCATAGTCACCTTTGACTGGACTTAACTGTCCGGGGTCCTTTACCTTACCTTTTACCTATGATATTAATGGTCTGTTAGGTTGGCAATGGCAATGCAAGTTTTGCCATTTGATCTAACTGGCACTGGAAATAGGTAGACAAAGAACTGAACACCATTAATGCTGAGTTTTACACAGTATGCTAAGAATGTCGTGATTCATCTCTCTTGCATACTGCAACATCTCATATCTTTTAATAAGATTACCCTTTCCATTAGACCATAATTTAGCACAAAGGGACAGGGTTTTTCACTTTAATACCTCTCATTTTAGCTATAAGAAACAAAATGAGGAATCCTATGTAG